GCTGTTCTAAATGGTTTATCATCTTCGCCAGTTCTGAAAGAAGTGCGTACTTCTGATGTGAGCACTTTTGCCTTCCACTGACACTTGAATTTCCGTCCTCTATTCTGTGGATTCACTTACGAGTAATGATATGAAATGTTTTATCGTATTATCTCCTATTTTACCGCAGTGACCAGATTGTCAAACGAAGTTTGCTCACCTCTTTCATGAGTTTGTCGACTGACTTTCTGTACTGTTCTATAGTTTCTACAAATTGCAGTGAGCGACCTTTGATTGTCTCGTAAAAATCTTTGGAATTGTCCAGTTGTACTGCTTCTTTACTTTCCTCGTAAAACTGTTTCGCATCTCTGGTTATATTCTCTGCTAATTCCATCAGGCATTGAAGCGTTTTGGCCGAAGCACGCAAATTGCGTTCTGTCGTAGCTGCTGGTCCGATGAGGATCGTGTGGACCAATTCTGCTCCAAGGTACGATCGTCCAACCGTCAGTCCCAGACTCGGAACTAGCAGAAGTAGCATACAGCGAACGCGTCTTGACACGACGGATCCAAACATGACTACTATCCTAATGAATAGCGCGGTAATCGAAGCGACCTCTCTAGCCGCCTCATACGCATTGCGCTGGAGTTTCTCCTCAATATCTACGGGTGTGGAGGTGCCGGACTCTGGCTGTTCAAGCTTCGGCACAAACGCACGAATCAACCCATAAGAAACAACATATCCCAGACACAGAGAGCAGATAATGCGTATTAGATGAGCAGTCAAGCCTCTGTAGACCGCGTTCCCCTCTATTTCACGGATTACATTTCCGTCCGCGTACAGTGCAGCCTCTATTAATGGTAATCGACAACGTAACCAGCGACGTAAAGAGCTCCACTCAAGTTGACATGGCCTGTACTTATTTCTCCAGTTTATGCGGCGCAGGAATGTCGCATAGTGTTTTCTTCGGTCAGTCAGTGACCAGCCGATACGAATTCCACGTTCCAACCACCTGGCCCGAATTTTCCAAAATGCACTCTGCACCTGAGACAATTGACCGTAAATGGCGAAATTCTGACAAGCTGCTAGAAGTCTTTTATTGGACACATACCCCCACGGTCCATTAAACAAACCGTTTGAGTGTGCCGGTTGACTGAGCCTTCTCTTCGTCTGACGGGGTTTACTCCATTTATCAGATTCTTGACGGTCCGTTGCTAGCTGTTCTTCAGGGTATGGTTCATTTGTTCTCCAAGAGACTTCGCTTTCCTCCGATACTTCGGAAAAGTTATCATCATCGGCGGACTGGTTAATGTTGTTGCCTGTGAAGTTAGTTACTTTTTCAGGCTTTCTGACATTATAGGCAAAAAAGCAACAACACAGTTGAACAGCATGAAGGAATACGTTGGGTAGAAGTGTCATCAAGAATATTTCTTCCAATTTTGTTTCCAATTCTTCCGATACCACATGAACACAGCCCCTACGGAATACGGGTATATGCTCATTGTATGCTCTACTTTCCTGATCAACCATGTGTAACTGGTGGGTTTGAAGTATATCCGCTGTGCACAGCGCAGTGCGCTCGGAGTCACAACAACTTGGAGGCACATAGTTTACCACCTGTTTCCAAGGCCGGAACATGTGTTTAGATGCTGTCCAAAGATGATTCAGTCCAATGCCTTGAGGATCGACTCCGTCCCAATCAGCTAGCGAATGTGCACCACAACACCGAAATATCCTTTGAATTCTTTCCAGTCTGTTCATGTGCAGACGGACTTCATGACCTATGGGAGAGAATGAATTGATTTTGATTTCAAAACTGCATAGTGTTACCAACGTTCAATGTATATTTTTATTCTAAACATACATACATTACATACCAAATGGTATACATCCTGTTGGTCACCGAACTCTGGCGAAATAGCTGGAAATCAACAAGTCAACAAACCAGTTGGATGGACCTAATGTCATGGGCACTCTCCCAACTTTTATCGATCTATGTCCGCTGATCAACATAGTCTCCGACATTAGTGCATTTAACTCTTTGCTCATCATCCACCCTGACTAAACCCAACGCGTATTATATACATTTTCTACCACACTTGTGTAATGACAAGTGGGTTGATTCTTTCTTTAATGATTCGCACAAATTTACTGCGACAACTGAAAACACTTCACACCACGACACGTTTTGCCTTTGTTCGACCTCACAAGGTGGAGATAACCAGCCTCGAACTCGGAACTAGTAGAATGTTAGCCGCCCATCTGATCGAATTGGCCAAGCTTTATTTCGTTGCGAATCACAGTCCACATTACATTGCGCGTCGCAATCCACCAGTTAACGTGTATTCCAAAATGGTCTTCCATTTTGCTATGACAATTGTTTACATGTTTGCAATCGAATTTCACGTTGTTTCGCTGCGACTGTCGTCTCCTTCAGGAACCGTTTTGGAACGTTTTAAGCCGTCATCGATCCATCATATCATAGGAACATCAGTACTGTAATTCAGCTTTCTACGGAGCAGTTAACTGGTGGTAAAAACTACTCCTATCCCATACTTCTTTAGCACACTGTGCGAAGTATCCTGAGTCGAAGACACGCTCCATGTTTCCATGCATTGTACCTTCGATCTTAAAGAATGCTGTCATGTCTCCAAGATGTTGCACATACAGCTGCATGGTTTTTTTCCGAAATATGTCCACAAACTACCTATCTATCACAAGAAGCTTAAGCCAGTTAGTACGACCACCAGTCCTAATAAGCACCAGACGGTCGTTTCGCCATTTTGGGGCTCGTCATTGCTTCGCATCCTCCTGTTCCATCGCGAACCGAACCCATGACCGTTAGTAGCTTGCGGGAGTAGTCAGCCGATGGGGACGAGGGCAGACTTGTAAGCCTCTAGTTGGTATCGTAGGCTGCTGTCATGGGTTCGGCTTTTGTTAGCGCCGAATGATGCGCATCACAGACGAGCCCCAGTGGAATAAAACGGTTGTCTGCTGGTTTTCTGAACATTTGGCTTTTAAGCTGTTATAACATTGGTCTGGTTACTTTCCATTGAACCGATTTTCGCATGTCCATGGTTTGAATTCTCCATTTTTTCTTCTGCCACGCTTCTGGTGGCCCAATGTCTGTTAACAGACTGTGAATATATATATATATATATATATATATATATATATATATATATATATATATATGGTTAGCGGCATCCGGTTTCGGATTTGCCTGTCACTGTGGCCAGCCACAAGACGCCTGCGCCTACAGAGGGACCATGGATGGCTTGCGCTGCACCACCCACAGCTTCAACCACACACCCCATATCCAGTGTAAACCCGGAGGAATAAGACCGGGGGGCATGCGGATGGGAGCCACGTTTCATCAACGGAGCCGGCCCACACTCCTTCACAGACAAACAAGCACGCTGTATTTGGGAATCAATCGCATACAAGACGGTGGCTGGACCGTAGTCCGCTCCACACTGAGTGCATGGAACCGCTCTTCGAGCCTAGCACGGCTTTAAGGACCGTGCACCCTGTCCCCTCCAACAACGACCAACTGTCTCCTGGAGTCAGTATGGACGAGGTAGTGGGTAATAGACAGGTAGGCACCTTGTCAACATGCACATCCAGCGCAGCCACACCGGGAATATCAAGCAACAGCCAATCACTTGAAACGACAAGCTGAAATATAATAAATCCAATAATGTTTACAGATACGGAGGCATAATTGTTCGCTAAATTAGCATATGAATTAAGTTGGTTATCAACGAATCCGCCATAAGTGAAAAATGTCCACAAGTAACTTAAAAATGCTACAAACGCGACAAAGTTACCGAAGATAAGCGAAATTGGCATAAGCCATGTGGCCGGTTAATAGAAGATTATTCAGGTATTCAGGAATGAAATTTATCCAGCTTAGAGAGACCTAGTTTGTGTAAGTTGGTTTAGCCCAACTGCGGTGAAGAAGCATCAAGAATGAAACATCAGCCTCAGCATGGGGCACATGGATATATATATATATATATATATATATATATATATATATATATATATATATATATATATATATATATATATATATATATATATATATATATATAGTCGATTTCGGGTAATCGGACCACATCGGTCCTATTAAGCGGCTGGTCCGATTAACAGAAGTTACCCGATGTAACAAGATGGGACGTGCTATACATAACAGGAAACTACTATTATGACCTGTATTGGTGGCATATATTTATAGCAAACACCCAAAAAAAGAACTGCTTTGATAACGAACTTTGTTCACTGAAAAAGCAATTTACAAACAAATTATTTGTAACGAGCTACAAGATATTCAGCATGCGAAGCACAGTTTTATACAAAGGGATTACCGAATTCCATTCAGCGTTTGAAGACCGTATCCAGTGTGGTTTGACGTACTCTTTTAACAGACTGCATTCGCACAAAATCACCACAAACATGTAACGCAGTAATAGGACTACCTACATTTCCTTCCTGCATGAAATAACGGTGCAATGTTTCAATGCATTTCCTTGCATCCCGTTTTGTGACTGGCATCAACACGTTAGGGTTCTCTTCATCACTTCCATGGTCTTCTGTTGCAGTCGTGTGTTTCGCTGCTATTCGAGCAACAATGGAAGCATCGCATTCTTTATTTCCATCATAGAGTTGAAGTTCGTTGTCGATTGACAAAAATTCTTCGTAATTTTCAACTTGTTTCAGCTCCACATTCTCGCCGTCATTTTAATTTACAATCACCATATGCACATCCATCTCCGAGACAATATGCTTAAAGCCACAGTGAGAAAAACAGTTCCGAATTGTCGCACTGCTCATTTTTCGCCAACTTTCGGTCACGAATGTAACGGCTTGCAAAATGTTAACCTTTGCACTGATTTCTCCGGCCGTCGAGGATGAGGTCAGCAAGCCTTCCTCAATTGATTCAAGGATGTAATCCACCAACCTTGAACGATAAAAGGTCTTCAAATTTTTTATGATGCCCATGTCCATTGCCTGTATCAAAGATGTGGTCTTGGGAGGCAGAAATTCCATCTGGATATTCTTCAAGAAATCCAAATTTGAATGTGCTGCACAATTGTCGAAAAGTAATAACACTTTTCTCGACTGGCGTTGTAGCTCTGTGTCCCAATCCTTCACCCATTCTTTAAAAAGTGTAGAGCTCATCCATGCATTTCTGTTCGCACGATACACAACTGGTAAACTGTCCATTCTGAGTCCCTTAAAGCAGCGAGGCTTGGCACATTTTCCTATAACCAGCAACTTCCTCTTGTCTGTTCCGGACATGTTTGAGCAGCACAAGACAGTTACACCATCCATTGCATTTTTGCAGCCAGAGAGAGTAACATGTTTGTAACAAGGAGCCGTCCGGTGTAGCCCTATAGTACAACCCGGTTTCATCAGCATTATAGATGTCATCTGCTGGAAATTTTTCAAGAAGCCCTGGTAGTTTTGTTGATTTCCATTCTTCAGCTCGAGCGCCATTGGCACTTTCTTTCTCACCATGTGCTTTCTTAAATTTTACATCATGTCTAGATTTCCATCGAGACAACCAGCAGTCCGTAGCTATAAAATCTTCGTGGCCCAGCATTTTAGCGAGTTCTTCTGCTTTGTACTTTAACATTGGGCCACTTACTCGCACGGCTCGTCCAGTAACAAAGGCAAACTAATCACTAAGGGCCTCATCGACGACTGGATCCTTGCCTTCACGCTTCCGTTTTTGGGAAGTACCTCGTCGTCCTTCACGTTGTGCCCATTCTTCTCGCAGATCTTTCTCTTGTTTTATCAGGCGCGATATTGTAGATTTTGCCAAGCAGGTAATTTCCACCAATCGACGCTGACTAGTGGTTGGTCCCTGTTCCTTGATCTGATCTAGGAAACGAATCTTCTCAGCTAACGTCAACTTCTGTCGTGGCATTTTCTTAACCTGCAACAAGACACGCACAGTTCACTGAGGTGAACTCGAGTCTGTCTACCGGGTATTTCTATGGTTGACCTAGCCACCTGCTGTCCTATGATTTGCCGGACCTGTGTGTCCGCGATCACTTGCCGTGCTCGAGAGTAGGTCCGCAATGCGGGCTCAGGGCATTCGGCTCCATGGACGTGCGGTGCATCGATCGAGCGGTTAACGACATGTGAACAAGCATGTATGTCTTCGCTCCGCCTACAAGTGTTAAAAACTACAGTCAGTTTCGGGCAGTTCTGAAGCCAATTAGATAGATGTGCCTCAAGGTTGCCACAGTTCAGTTTATCCAAAGGCCAACTCGGATTACTGTAACTGAATGATACGCTTTCTTGCCCGACATATGAACTGTAGGTTTAGTCCAGACATCCAGGCACAGAACTTGATTTTAACACCTCTGTTACCTGCCACTTTCTATCGTCTGGTCCGATTAAGCGAAATTTCGGTCCTAATAAGCGGCTAAAATTAGGCTAGCGTAACAGGATTCGTTTCGGTTCTTCAGAATTTGGCCCGAATAAGCGGCTGGTCCTATTAACCGGAATCGACTGTATATATAATTTGAATTCACGAGTGAATACCAAAGGCAAATATCGTGAATACTTGAGGATTCGCATTGTGATGACAGGGAATAATAACAGGGAATAACAACAGGGATTAATAATAATAACAATAATGACTGAACCAGGAGTTTTAGGATTCTTGGTCGGCTTCCTCTATAATTTGGTGAGAGTACCTCACAACGTTGTCCCATTAAAGTGTTTCAAGAATGAACCGTCATTGTTCCGTCATTGTTCCATCGAC